TACAGTCGTCCTATAGTGAGGATGACAGCAATTTCTCTATAGTTTCTGACATTGTTTCGTGCTCCTTTTTTGTATATTGGGGTTATATAGGCCTCACGCCATTCTAGCGGGGTCTCTTCTCCATTCAGGCATCGTTGGAACAGATCTTTCAGCATTTCCCACAGTTTAGCTGAGCCGTATTTAATAAATTCTGGTGAGATGTTTCCTGGGCCTGGCGCTTTTTTAAGTTTAAAAGATCTTATCGCTTCTACGATATTTGTCATGTTCAATTCAATGAATTCTGATCGTATGTCTCTGTTTGCATTTTCGTATTGAAAATTTTGTCGTCCTTCTTGTAGTAACTGTTTAAAGTAGTTCGATTTGATTCTATAACAATAATGGATTCAACGATCGATTCGATAATCGATTTGATAATCGATTCAATAATCAACTATATTCGATTTGATTCGATATGATTAGGTTTAATTAGATTTGTTTCGATTTGATTCGATTTAATTTTATTTGATTTCATTTGATTCGATTTGATTCGATTTGAATCGATATGGTTTGAATTGATTCGATTTAATTCGATTTGATTCGGTTTAAATCAATTTGACTCGATAACCAATTCGATTCCATAATCAATTTGATTCTATATATGATATATCATATATTTTGTTTTATTATATTTTTTTATTTCGATTCGATTCGATTTGATAATAATTGAATTCAATAATCGATTCGATACCTGTCGATAATCGAATTGATTTGACAATTGATTCGATAATCGAACTGATTTGACAATCGATTCGATAATCGAATTGATTTGACAATCGATTCGATAATCGAATTGATTTGACAATTGATTATGATTCAATAATCGATTCAATACAATAATTGATTTGATATTATATTCAATTCGATAATCAATTCGATTCGATAAACGTTTCGATAATAGATTTGATTCGATATTTGATTCAATATATGATTCGATTCGTCAATCGATTCGATTTAATAATCGATTCGATTGCATATTGGATTCTATTCGATTCTATTCTATTCGATACTTTTCGATTCTATTCGATTCGATTATGTTGTATTTTATTTTATTTTATAAAATATATAGAAATAAACTTATTTTAAATTTAAAATGTGGCTTATTCCTATCAGAAATAGTACATTTTATTTTTTTTTATTTTATCAATAAACGCGTACGGCACTGCGTTTATTATTCCATGTAGTGTGTGGTCGCTCGTGCGTAGTATGTGGTAGCGCGTAGTGTGTGGTTGCGTGATGTGTCGTTACAGTCATATATTTTGGGGATCCAAAAAATATGCAAAAAAGTTTATCCTTTTTGATAAAAACGCAAAAAAATCAATTTACCAAAAATCTGTACATCGTAGAAAAAAATATTTTAAATAAAAAATGTAGTTGAGATAATTTTAAATAAAAATGTTTATATGCATTTTTTGGGCAGAATGAACTGTTCTCTTAGAAACAACGCTTGAAGCGACCGTCGATTTTGCATGTCAGTTATGTATGCACGCACAATCAATGTCGAATAAAATTTGCATCAACTCGACAGTAAACAGTCGATATCATCGACAAAATCAAGATGCGTTTTAATGGAAAAAAGTTCAACTTTCGTATGCAGTTTTTGCAATCTCCAAAAATAATAACTCCAATAATCTCCTTTTTGGAGTTTAAAAAAATTTGAGCCGCCATTTTTAATATACTTAGAATAGACAATGAAGTCCCTTGTTTGTTGGAAACTATGTGTTTACGTGTAAAGAACGCAATACTTAATAACAAAAAGTGAATTTATAAAAAATTGTTGGAAATCCCCTTTTTGCAGTTGGCAGTTAATACATTAATATATATTGGATTTGAAATTTCCACATGAGCTATTTCTGTGGTTTCCGGGTTTTAAAATTGTTTTGACTATGTTTCGGCATGGTTACTCTAACCATTGTCAATCCAAATTAGTTCTGGTTCTTTCTGATGTTCAAGCAGAACTCGAATAACACAATTGTCTTAAGTCTGGTCGATCACAGCTATTGCCTCAAAAAACATTGATGCTGTGCGCAGCAAGATTGAAGTGGATCGGGATGTTATATATTATGAGACTCGTGTATTATTTGGCATAGGCATCATTAAAAAAATATGCATATAAACTTATGCAACAAAGAAGAACACGGAATAAGGAGCAAATGTACAAAGATCTTAGGAAGGAGGAAAAACGCCTACATCGAAGGAAAAAGCGGACCTTCGAAAACCAGATTATGCAAGAGCTTCAATCATTAAAGGGGCAAAATGAAACTAGAAAGTTCTATAATATCCTAAATAAGACAAGAAAAGAATTTAAACCACGGCTGACGATGTGTAGAGACAAAAATGGACATATAGTCAGTACCGCTGACGTAGTACAAAGCAGATGGGTTGAGCACTTCAAAAAACTACTTGGTACCGAAGTGGAAAATGATGCGTCACCCCAAAGACCAAGAAATAACACTTACGTAGAACCTCCTTCAATATTTGAAGTGAAAGACGCAATCTCACGACTCAAAAATAGCAAGTCCCCAGGAGTGGATTGTATCCCCGCAGAGCTCAACAAACATGGAGGTAACAGCATTATGCACCAAATTCACAACATAATAGTCAAAGTCTGGGAAGAAGAACAAATGCCAGAGGAATGGTGCAATGGAATCATATGTCCACTACACAAAAAGGGAGATTTGTTGGAATGTAAAAATTATAGGGGTATAACTCTTCTGAATACAATGTACAAAATATTCTCCAACACCCTGTACAGCCGTTTAAGTACGTACGTGGAAGAAATCCTTGATGAGTATCAAAGCGGTTTTAGGCCAGGTAGGTCAACAATTGACCAGATTTTTGTGCTACGTCAAATCTTAGAAAAATCAATGAATTTAATATTGACACGTTCCATCTCTTTGTGGACTTTAAGTCAGCGTATGATAGCGTCCTAAGAGGTAAATTATACGAAGCCATGAATGAACTTAACGTTCCCCATAAATTAATAAGGCTCGTAAAAACAACTATAAGTAAAGTGATCTGCAGAGTGCAAATACAAGGCGATATGTCACAAGCGTTTGAAACATATGCAGGGTTACGGCAGGGAGACGCGCTGGCGTGCCTTCTCTTTAATATAGCGTTAGAAAAGACTATAAGAGATGCCGAGTTACACAATAGGGGAACAATCTTTAATAAATCAACGCAGATTATGGCTTACGCTGACGATCTGGATTTGATTGCACGTACTACATGAGGACTTAAAGAGATGACTTCCACCTTCTTGACAGCCGCACAAAATATGGGCCTTAAAATAAACGAGGAAAAAACCAAAATGTTAGCATCTATTCCAAATAACAGAGATAGAGCTAGAAACGCCGAATAAAACTTCAGTATAGACCAATATAATTTTGAGGTAGTAAATAAGTTTACATATTTGGGTTCTCTCATAACAAACGATAATGACACATCTGAACAAGTTAAACGGAGGGTACTGCTAGCAAACAAATGTTATTTTGGACTAAGCAAGCAGCTAAAAAACAGAAATTTAAGCCAGAAAACCAAACTAATAATATATCGAACACTCATCCTACCAGTGCTGGCATATGGGTCAGAAACATGGACCATCTCCAAAACAGACGCAAATCTTCTGCTCGTCTTCGAAAGGAAGATACTAAGAAGAATAATGGGCGCATTCTGTGAGAATGGTATTTGGAGAAGGCGATATAATTTCGAATTGTACGAGAAGTATAAAAAAATAGTAAATGGTAGAGATGTAATATCCTTCATAAAAATAGGTAGGCTTTAGGTAATCTATAGATGGGCTGGACATGTGTCAAGAGCAAATGAAAATTACCCACGCAGACGAACTCTGTTATCGGTCCCAGTGGGAAATAGGAGTAGAGGCAGACCACGACTGAGATGGAGGGACGGCGTGGACGAGGACGCAAGGAAAATCGGCGCGGCAAATTGGCAACGGTTGGCGATGAACAGAAACGACTGGCGAAATAGACTGGGGAAGGTCAAGGCTCAACTAGAGCTGTAGCACCACTGATGATGATGATCATTAAAAAAACAATTTTGCATGATTATTTAGCAATGAGAAAGAAGCCCAGTCTTTGTATTTCTCATAATTTGTGAGTGATGATAAAACATGAATATATTGAGGCCAAAATAAAAAAAAAACAACGGTATGGGTATTTATAAAACCAACCTAAGCCAACAAAATTAATCCGCGTTCACAGCGTTGACAAAAAAAAATTCAGACTTTTTTGGAAAAAAGACATACGTTGGCACGTTTACACGTTTATTAGAAAATGGTAGAAGAGTCAATGTTCAATGGTATAAAACTATTTATTTCCCATAACTAATTTACGAACCCCGCAAAAACAACCAGAATCGTCGCATCCTCTGGCGTAAGGATAATGTCAGCTGTTACACAGCTCGCACAATATCCTAGTTGTTGAAGGCGAAAGATATCAATTTAGTGGACCATCTTACATATAATCCGTACTTGGCACCATGTGATTTCTTGGCGTTCCCATGAATTAAAAACAAACTACACGTTAAGATGTCAGATAAGGCAAGCGGAATAAATAGTATTCCACCATGCCTATTCAAGAGACAAACAAAAATTATAATCATTTTGTAAAGATTATTTTATTTATCAAGTTTTACAACATATAATTTAAAATTATACAATAAGTAATCAATAATACTAAAACGAGTAATACTAGTTTCTAGAGAACCTGTATAGTTTATTCGAAAAACGCATTTCTTGTTTAAACTTTATTTTAATTTTTTTCATCTATTTGATAAAATAAAAAAAGTAGCCTAGTACGTTTAGTTTAGTTTATTTTTTAGTTTATTATACTATCTAAAAACCTATGATATTTATCTAAACAATAATTCAAAACCCAAAAAACATTTTTAATACAACTACAAACAAAATTGTGCTATATTTCTCTAATATTCAAATATTTTTATAGGGAGATATCGAGATGATAAAAATCGTTTCTAGACCTGATGATGCCTACGAAATTTGCAAGAAATATGCTCCTGATTGCTTCGGTTCAAGATCAGACAATAATTTTGGTGTCGCCGGTTCTTTTAGTTTTAACCAATCAAATAGTGAAAGTTATGAAGAATATGGCAGAGCAAGAGGTGATTCTTATGATACAGAAGGTAAGCAATGGAATAATTATGTTATTCGTACCAATAAATTATATGAATTTAATTTTGTTAGGTAAGGTACCACAAAATCTTGATTTGTAGGACACATCAAATATTTATGCAGTGAAATACGTCTTCGTATAAATTCTTTTATTTTGGCTTTCACGTTTTGGCATTCTACGGCATCAGAATGCAGAAGGCAACGAGAAATCATTGCATTAAAGGTCCCTGATGATATCTCTAGTATTATAATGGCTAACACTATTTGCGCAAAAATCAATATTGATTATGGTAATCGGAGACCAAAATCCGGCAGGGGAGGACAACATTAGAACTCACTAAAAAACCAAAATAAAACACTCAACCCTCTTAGATAAAAATAGCTACCTGGAATGTAAGAAGTATGTATTAGCCTAGAAAACTACATAATATTATTAAAGATAAAGAGAGACTAAATATAGAAATACTTGGGGTAAGCGCTGCACAATGGTCAGGAAATGGATAGGTGTCAATAAATATCCACAATATTTATTACACTGAAGGAGACAAAATTGATCATCGATTCTGAGTAGATTTCATCATATAGGAACACTGTTAGAAAATCAATGCTTCAAATCTCAGAAAGAATAATTAGTAACACTGTTAGAAAATCAATTGTTCAAATCTCAGAAAGAATAATAATGCTAAAAATTCAAGCACGGAACTTTAATATTAATATGATCCAATTTTATGCTCCCATAGCTTATAAGACCGAAGACCGAAGATGTTAATGTAATGTATTGTGTAATGAAGAAGTTAATGAAATCTAGAGATATTACTTACATTTTAGGAAACTTTAATGCAGAAATTGGAGTAGGTACAGTTGAAAATATACTTGGACATAAACGAGGAGAAAGGCTCATAGAATTCTGCCAAGAAAAGAACATGGTAATTGCTAATACTTGATTTTAGCTTCCTAAGAGAAGACTATAACATGGGCGTCTCCTTCACATACAGCTTCGTAGACAGCAAGGACACATAAAGGATAAAAAAGGAGTACTACTAATAGATTTACTAGATAAATTAAGACGATGGGAGGAGTACGTTAGAGAACTTTTCCAAGATGAAAGAGGTGAAATGCAGAAAATACAAGAATTAAATCCTTTAGAGAGACAGTAGATCACGACAAATGAAATCAAATATGCTATCAAAAACTTTAAAGACAATAAGGCAGCTGGACTAGATGAAATACCAGTAGAACATTATATTGGAACCAAAGTGCCATAGTGTTAATTTATGGACAACACTCAGAAGAAATGAAGATCTGTAGAGGAGTTAGACAGGGATGTGTGTTATCGCCACTTTTGTTTAACTTATATTCTGAAAAAATTTTCCAAAACACGCTCAATAATATCAAAGCGGGAGTTACCGTTAACGGAAAATTACTTACACACTTACTTAAAACAACTTACGATATGCAGACTACTCTGTAATCATAGCAAGATAGAAGATCTACAACATCTTATCGCTAGCTCAAGTGCAATAGTACTGAGATGGGAATTACTATAAACGCTAAAAAAACAAGTAGCCCAGTGACGATTTTAATAACTTTAAAAGCTAAAACTAAAGATATCAAAATTACATTTAAATTTTTTTCAGGTACGAGTGCCATAAATTATCAAGATAATTTACAAGGAAATAGAAGAATCACTTTTCAAGATAATACGCTTTTGCATGGTGTTGGAAATGTTCAGTTTAACCAGGAAAGTGATCGTAATGCTGTCGATTTTGGCCATCGAGCTTCTGCATCTGGTGTCGAGACAGCAACCATTGGAAAGTTTGAAGACGAAGATTTTACTACTGAAGCAAATATAAATTCTACAACACAAGAACCTATAGAAGTAGATTTGATTACTACAATATATCCGGATTATGAGGTAAGAAAATATTTATTATATATATATATATATATATATATATATATATATATATATATATATATATATATATATATATATATATATTTGTATGTAAATTAGCGCTACAGCTCTTGTAGCTCATGGTTGGATGTAGCTAAATTGACAATGAGATCCTTAAATCTCCGTAAAAAACTCTTCTTTAACTTTCATTCGATTTATATTCTTTCTTCTGTAACTTTTTACCTAAGACCGTCGTCACTTTGCTATGGACTCTACTTGTTGCTCACAAGAGTAATTTCCTTCAGGATCATAATTTTTTTACGTCGGAGATAAAAGATATTATTATGCTAGAATGTTCTTTATGTAAGATCTTTCTCTAAGATCATATCGCTGTCCCGGTGGAACAATGATGCAACTTCTTCTTCTTCACGTGCCATCTCCTCTAAGAAGGCTGGCAACTATCATGTCAATTCGAACTTTCGACGCCGCTGCTCTAAAGAGGTCAGCAGAAGTGTAGTTAAACCAAGCTCTCAAATTATTCAACCAGGAGATGCGTCTTCTTCCGCAACTCCTTCTACCCTATATTCTTTCTTGCGTTAATAATTGCAAGAAGTTATAATGCTCGCGTCTCATAACATATCCCAGTTATTGCAGTTTTCTGACTTTAACTGTATTTAAAACCTCTTTATCTTTTACCATTCTTCTCAACACCTGGACATTCGATAATCTATCTACCCAACTTATTCTTAATATCCTTCTATAGACCCATAACTCGATGGCTTCCAATATGTCCGAAACATCTTTCTTTAATGTCCAAGCCTCCAACCCATAAAATAATACGGAGAACACGTAGCATCTCAGAAGTCTTATCTTTAAAGAAATTGAAATGTGCCTGCTGCAGAGTACTTTTTTCAGTTTGTTGAAAGAATTTCTTGCCTGTCCTATTCTTGCCTTAATCTCTTCTGTGTACTCATTATTTTCATTAATTATTGTACCCAGATATTTATGTTTTTCAACTTTTTTAATTTGTTGACGCAACTACAAAGGGGCAACTTTTCAGGAGAGCCAAAAATATAAAATTATTATACTTACTGTGTAATTACTATCCATATAAATGTCCAAAAATCCATATAAACTATAAAATTTTACTATCCATATAAATGTCTTTAGATTTCCTAAGAACTCCTGTCTGTGCAAATTAAGAAGATATTTATTTAAATTTAAATGTCTAAATTTTGTGTATAACCTGTAATCTATATCATTTTAAATTGATTTTAAGATATAACAGATAATAAAGATAAAAAATCTATCCAGTTTCCAGAATCAAATATATCATCACAAGGTCCCGATCCTTATGCTGGCATAAGAGGTCCACCTGGCGTTCGTGGCTATCCAGGACCTCCAGGCCCGCAAGGTCCTATTGGCCCTAAAGGTGATCCTGGAAGAGATGGAATTTACGGTACACCAGGTGTACCAGGAGCTCCAGGACATGTATTCCTGGTACCAGTAAGTACTTTAAAAAAGAAGTTTATTTTTCACTATTTATATACTAAATCATAAAAAAATATAAATTTAAAGAGAATGGTACGTAACAGATAGTTTTTATTTTAATAAAATATTTTTTAAGCGATATCATAATTCCAATAAATACTATTGAACTGCTTACATGCTTTTTTGCACTTTTCACTTTTCTTTGCGTACAAGATATACAAGTATACAAAGCACGTGGTGTTCGTGTGTATTAGGGTATAAAAAAAGCGCTTATTAAAAGCTTAAAAATTTTTTTATTATAAAGAAGATCTTTTCGGAATTGTATCATTCCATCATCAGTTTAATAAAAAGTTGTTAAAAAACATTGTGTGGCCACATAAAAAACATTCGATGGACATCTGGATTTAAAAAATAATCTTCATGTTATTTATTCAGGTAAATGCAATAGACTCTTAAATTGTGTAATATTAAAAAATGAAACTGGGGGCATCTTATATGACCCCCTGTAGTTGGTGAGGTTTTATCGACTTACATTACCTCTGATCTGTGTTGGAGTCTAGGGCTAACTAGGGCTTTCCAGTTAGCCCTAGACTCCAACACAGATCAGAGGTAATGTAAGTCGATAAAACCTCACCAACTACAGGGGGTCATATAAGATGCCCCCAGTTTAATTTTTTAATATTACACAATTTAATAGTCTATTGCATTTACGTGAATAAATAACATGAAGATTATTTTTTAAATCCAGATGTCCATCGAATGTTTTTTATGTGGCCACACAATGTTTTTTAACAACTTTTTATTAAACTGATGATGGAATGATACAATTCCGAAAAGATTTTCTTTATAATAAAAAAATTTTTAAGCTTTTAATAAGCGCTTTTTTTATACCTTAATACACACGAACACCACGTGCTTTGTATTCAACAGGTATACTAACCACTCCTGGATATCTCCACTTCATGGTTTGTTCCAGTTTCACTTTTAAAAAAATAAAAAAATATATATACAAGTATATTCTTTATTTAATTTATATATTTATTTTGATGCCAACAATAATTAAAGCACAAGCTTAAAATTACAGTTTAAGATCTATTGTGAGATACTTCTTTCATATTTTGTAGATTATGTATCATTGCTTGTCCTCTACTAGGTTTACTGATCCGCTCAAAACTGTCTAATGAATATAATAGAGTCCTTTCATTCAGCTTGGCAATAGCTTAAATAAACTAGTTGTTTCAGACTTCTTTCATTGAAAAAAGAATAATATTTATGAATAATGGGAATATCCATTTATTAATGCAATTAAAACATTCCATTTATAAATACTAATCTATAAAAGACTCGAAAGTTTCAAAATAAACTTTTATTGTAATTGATGCACTTTTATTGTATTAATAAACTTCAAGTGAATATTTTTTAAATATTGGCTATGAGCACGTTTACTTGGATATATAGTAATTCTTAGTCTTTTTCAGTCGGTCAAAATTTAAACAAAGTAGCAAAAAATAATTACTAAAATTGCTTAACACCTCGGAGGGATCGGCGAACCGAGTACAGTAGACTCGCGATTATCCGAGGTAATTGGAACCGTGACTACCTCGGATACCAAAAACGTTGGTTTCAACATCATTTCTCTTTTTAAGGCGGCGATGTTGTGCCAACATTGAAAATGGAGGACGTCTAATGTATACGAGAGCTGCTTTAAGGGACTTCAATCCATCGGAATAATTTTTTTTTTAAGTTATCTCATCTGTATCTTCTTGTTCTTTTTAATGGGTGTCGTTTAGAACTAGATTGGCAATTGAATTATCTGTCAGTTCCATTTCTTCATCTAGATTCATCCAATCGATGATGTCTTGATTTCCGATTGTTTGTTCTACTGGTAATTGATTGGCTAGGTTGGCTATAGTATCAACTTCACACTCATCAGTTTCATTTTGAACGTTTTGTGTTTTGGTGACTATCTTAAATAATTTTTTCCACGACTTCTGAATAGTCGACACTTTTACGTCGTCCCAAGCAGATGCAATCCAATAGCAAACATCTTTAACCGTGATCTTCTTCAATGCCTCAATTACAGTCAGTCCTTCATCCAGCTTAATTAGAAGTACCTGAAGAAGCTTCCACCTATAATTTCTCTGCATTGCTTCTATAACTCCCTGCTCTAGGGTTTTAATAAAAGGCGTCATATTGGATGAAAAGAACACAGCTCGTATGTTACCACTAATCAATTCACTCGCATCTGGGTGGAATCGTGCGTTGTCCAACAACAAAGCTTTCTGGAGTAAATTTTTGTTTATTAGGTAGTCATCATTGACTGGCACGAAGTCATTAAAAAACCAAACCTTAAAAGTGTTACAGTTCATCATGCATGGCGTTGGTTGCTGTAGATTGTAGGTAATCAATTTATTTGGACATTTTTGAATGCCCTTGGATTTCTGCAGCAGATTTGCAGCATTTCTAAAGCATTTTAAAGTTAAGGTCTGTCTCATCACAGTAAAATATTTGGTCTGAAATTAGTCCATCTTTAAGGATAAAATTAGTCCATCTTGTAACTTTAAATAAAATCTTCCAATTTCAGTTGAGTCAGCAAAAAGTTTTTCGCCGCAAATATTCAATTGTCGGATGCCATATTTCTTCTTCCATAAGTCAATCCATCCTTGACCCACTGTTCGATTTCATTCCGCTTACGCTTCCAATCTCCAACAGTTTCTTCTCCGACACCCAAATCTGAAGCAACCTTCTTTATTGATTCATCCTTGTCCGACCGTTTAATTGCATTCACTTTTGTTTCCAAAGATACAACTACTCTCTTCCGCTTTCCACTCATATTGCACAGAAAGGTGCTCTCTTAGACTCACAAAAATTAACTTATGAAAAATTAATTATGAAACAGAAATTAATCAACTTGAATAAATACACAAAACAGTACATAAAAGAAAAAATTTTACCGTAACTTAATTTGACGATCTTTGACAATCTATACGATAGCAAACAAATCGGTAGTTTAATTCACACTGATTAAAATAGAAAGGAACCGGAAGTTGTAGACAAAAAACAACACAAAAATTTCTGGAAATAAGGCGGTGACCAATGTCTGAGAATTCCGACTCGACATCAGCTTGACCTAAAGCATAACTTACACACAACTCTCTTCTTATCAATTATGCACAATTTTCAATGGATTGCCCATATAACAGCTGCCGATATAACCTGTGACCATCGACACTTTTTTATTACTCGATATTGTGATTTAACAAGTACGACTATAAAAGTAAAACCGAGGCAAAATTTTGCCTCGGTTAATCTAGACTCGGATAATCGCGAGTCTACTGTATATTTTACAAATTAATGAATATACATACCCAGGATTTATGATTACTCTTTTTTTTTTCAATAAAGGAAGTCTGCAATAATAAGTGTATTTGGACTCGCTCTCGCTATCAAAAGCAAGAGGTAGAAATGTTTGTTTTGTATTTTTCGAATAAAGAAGCTTTCAAAATAGGCCAACGCTGAGTGAAAGAAAATATAGTAATTTTTATGTTTCCGATAATGCCTATCAAAATGTTCCAAAGCTCAGTTATTTAACAACAGGTAATAAAACATGTTTATAGTAAACTCTAGAAATCATTTACAGGTCCTTATAGATACAGTAAACTTTAATATGAAACACATTTAATATTATTTACCAAATAATTTTGGATTTTGGAATTTTATTCATTATTCATTTATTCATAAAATTGGAAATTCAAATTTTGGTGAGAGCGGTTTGGGTAGTTTAATATTTGGCGAGGGCGAGAGTATCACACCAACGTAAATGTATTACTAATTGCATATGTGCTAGGAGCTAATATGTATATCCTCTGAGTATAAAATTAATATCTGAGAATTATTATTTATAAGCAATACTATAATATATATTACCGATGTATCTTAAATTATTTATATTCTAATTTTACTTTAAGTCATTAATTTAATCATATAGTAGTGACATCTACACATGTATAACCAAACTACTATAGAAGTAAACTAATTTATTTTTTAGTTTAGACATTACTCCCTAGATGTCAAGCAAAGGTATCAAATTCGAAAATATCAATTTTTCAGGAAAGCGGTTTGAAATTTATCAATATTGAATCAATATTTTATCAATATGAAGTTTCTAAGTTATGGCTTAGTCACAAAATAAATTACAATCAGAATGCCCACTCTCAGATGCCGTTTTTGAAGTTTTTCAGCACTCGACCGCCATATTTTAGACGGAAACATAAACTCGAATTGAGACATTTGTGACAAGCTACGCACAGAACTGTAATTTAAATTTTTTTAATTTATAATAATTTAGTAGATACCTTTGAAATAATTTAAGCAATTCTTCAACTAAAAGTACGAATAAAATAGTGCATATTATGTCTATAGTTGCCTTAAATAAGTTAAACCGGGTTAATTTTTCTATGCACAAGAGATAAAATGTCACTGAACAGCACTGGTTCCGACTAAAATATGGCTGATTCCTTATGTGCGAACGAAATGCGCGTACTTATTTGTTCAAGCCGAGTAGGCATTCTGATTGTTTATTATTTGGTGGCTTGGTATTTTCCGTCGTATGTTACACAATTTTTTTTGACCGCTCTGATCTATCAACTAGTGAATTTCAAGCAATTTTTTTATTATTGTTACCTTGCCTGTTTACAATCTACTCTATACACAGAGTAATAAGTAAATAGTCTGTAAGTAAATTAACGTGAGTTAGGTAGGTACCTTCAGTGACGGTTCTCTAAGTATTATATTGCGGTAGGTCTTCTGGCCATACCCTCTTCAATCCTCTTTCGACTAGTGGTTGGGTGAATTAAAAATTTTTTTATTTGGGTTAAAATTTTTCGGATGTTTATTAAAATATGGCATAATTTTACACGAATTATTAAAATATTAATTATTTGTCAATTTAGTTTTGCTAAAATTCATTTTCAGTTCCTTTTTAGGGATTCTGTGTGTAGCTCCTCAATCACCGTATTCAGTGCCTTCCATGTATCGGCTATTAGTACTACATCATCTGCGTATCTAAATTCAAGTATCTTCCGTTAATAGGGATTCCCCTATTTTTCCAGTCTATTAACTTAAAGATATCTTCTAAACAGCTGTAAATTATTTTGGGATATTGTGTCTCCTTGTCTTACTCCTCGGTTGATTTTTACTGGTCTTTTTTCGATTCCACTACCCAACGTTATTATCAGTTCAGCTTGTTTTTAAATATTATATATTAATATTGTGTACCTGTAATCGATCTGGCTGCTGGCTAATGTTTCTTCTATTGCCCACAGTTCTACGCTATCAAAAGCTTTTTCCTAATCTATAAAAGCCAGACATAATGGGAGATTGTATTTGTTAGTCTTTTCTATTAGGATTTTTAAAGTATATAGATGGTCACAGGTGCTGTACCGGCTACCTTTTCTAAATCCGGCTTGTTCTACTGGTTGATATCCGTCAAATTTAATTGGTAATCTGTTTGTAATAATATTTGTAAAAGTTTTGTAAAGTTGTGAAAGAAGTGAAATTGGTCGATAATTTTTCAGGTCTGTGGTGTCTCCCTTTTTGTGTATTAAGTGTTTTAGCAGTACTCCATTATTCGGGTATGTTGCCTTCGAATAGATATTTATTAAATAGTATTTTTAGATACCTATGTGATGGCTTCTTCTTTACCTTCCTTCAGCATTTCTGCTAGGATTCCATTGCTTGCAGGAGCTTTATTCCTTTTTATTTCTTTTACTGCTCTTTTTATTTTTTCGTGGCTTATAGTTAACTACCTAAAACATGTTAATTTTAGAGGAAGATCACTATGTTGTATATCATGTACTCTGATAGTATGGATGTAAAAGTTGTTCCCTAAATATTTTATAAACAACGTTCTTTGACATTCCAATATACATAAATTCTCGACATAAATTTGGACAGCTAACTTACTGTTGCCCTGCGCTTCCATAAGTGTTATAGTCAACATACTCACGAATTGAAAACATTTTCGCGGCAAACGGTTGAATTTAGAATAAAAATGTTATAAGACTAGTTTGCTCTAAATGGTGCCTTCTTTAGGGGACACCCTGTATACTTGTCAAGATCATTTTCAAAGAACAGATTTTAATGTATATCTTTATTTTTTTAGTTAAATGCTCAAGGTAATGAAAAGGGGCCAGATGCACAAGCAGAATCCTTTAGGCAACTGTTATCTCAACACATGGTAAATATTTTCACAACTAAGCGTATTGTAGTGAAACAATAAATTTATAATATAAAATATTATATTTTTATTTAAATTTTTTTGTTATTAAATTTTTATTATCATAGTTGCTAATAATTTTTTATATATTTCTTATAATAATTGTTTATATATTTCTTTGTAGGTATCACTTTATTCTTAATATGCAGCTTTTATTATATCATCAATACCATATAAAAATAAATAAATAATAAATAAATAAATAAACATTCGTTATGTCGACGATGCAGTCATTATTGCTGAAAGTGAAAAAGACTACTAAACACAATTTGTGAAACTGGCAGGTTTAAGAATAAGTATAAAGAGAACAAAAGCCATGGTTATGAATAAGAGGGGAAAAGTAATAACAAGGATTTAGATAAAAAATGAAAATATTGAACAAGTGGACAAAATGAACAACTTAGGTGTCTGGATTACTAAAGATCGAAATCCGAAATCAGTTATTCGATCAAGGATAGATCAATCAAGAGCAGCCTTTTTGACGAGGAGGAAATTTCTGAGTAACCAAAGACTCAATCTGTAAATCCGATATCTAATGGATATATATATATATATATATATATATATATATATATATATATATATATATATATATATATAATATATATATATATATATATATATATATATATATAATGTTATATCAACTCTATTCTTCTTTATGGTCCCGAAGCTTGCACTGTTAATGTTGACTTAATGAGAAAGCTGGAAGTTTTTGATATGTGGATTTCTAGATAATTTTGAAAATACCATGGACCGCTCATATAATGAACGAAATAGTTTTGCACAGAATGGGAAGAGAGAACGTTTGACCACCAATAAAAAGAGAAACAAATCATAATTGGGGTACATACTTAGAAATGAAAAGTACGAGTTGCTGCAGTCGATTATGAAGGGTAAAATCGAAGGAAAAGGGGGTATTGGTAGACGACAAATATTTTGACCGAAAAACGTCCGCGACTGGATCGGGTTAAACACACAGACGCTTTTAAGAAAAGCAGCAGATAGAGACGAATTTGAAATGGTTATTGCCAACCTTCATTAGTGAAGTCTGCGCTAGAAGAAGAAAATCAATACTATATCATAACTTATTGTCGTGACTTATCTAAATAATTCTTTTACCATGCAATAAAACCACCCTTTTGCAATCTATAAATCTTATTTTTGTTATTTTACCAGCATTATGACATACGGTTGTTGCGTTATTTTATCCAAGTATAGACATAAAATCAGATTCTAATTCAGTCAATTAAGCCAAAAATTAAAGAAAATTTTGTGAAAAGGCATAGCACCTATGAAATAAAACAGTTAAAAGAGACACATATGAAAGAAAAAGTTTAAATACACATGTGAAATTATAATGTACGTATGTACAACATAATTAAGATAATGATTCAGTAGCAAACAATGTGGGAGACGAAATAAAAAACGACATGTAATGATTTAAGAAATTTTAGAAGATGCGCAATAAATAAACCAGAAATCGTAAAGTTCTAAATAAGAAAGAAGCGAAAAACCAATAGTGAAGTAACTAATCTACGGAAATACAATTGTTACAAACAAAACAAGACAAATTTTGTGTTTATAAAAAGACGCTGCAGGTTTATTTAAACCAAAAAAGGTCAGCTAATTGGAAGAAGAAATGAAAAGAAATAGTAAAAATTAAATAAAAAAAGACACATAGATTAAACCTTTGGAAAACAAGTTCAAGTCAACCAAAATATCATTATTATTATCTTTGGCTCGCAAATCTTCTGTGGATCCTGGCTTGCTCTAAGATTCGTCGCCATTGTGTTGGGTTTCTCCTTCTGCGTTAGAGTTCATGTTTCCGCCCCGTATGTAACGACCAACCTTAGCAGTATTTTGTATATAATAATTTTAGTTTCTCTTTAGATATTTCTTGAGTGGAATTGTCTTTGAGCGTCCATTCTTCTTCTTCCTGATGTGCTTATATATTACAAATGCTGGCGATCATCATGGCAATCTTTATCTTATCTAAAGCAGCACGGAACAGCTGCACTGATGTTATATTGAACCTAATTCTGAGGTTTCTTAACGAAGATGTTCTTTTTCTTCCTGGACCTCGTTTTCCAAATATTTTTCCTTGCAGGTTGGCTTGAAGGAAAGAATATCTGGATTCATTTCGCATAAAATGTCCGAAGAATTGTAACTTTCGAGACTTGATGGTGGTCAGTACCTCTCGGTTCTTGTTGATTCTTCTGGTGACCTCTTCATTTGTGACTCGGTCAGTCCACGGTATCTTAAGCATTCTCCGATATAACCACATCTCCATAGTACGCCCCATTTGTAAGGTTTATTCGTCTTTTAATTTCTTTGATTGTTTTATTGGTAGTAATCGCTAGCGAGCCAAGGTATGTGAAGCTGTCAACAGGTTCAAAGAGATGATTTCCAAAAATGCTCTTTCTTATTTATCATTTGCTATAGTATAAAATGTACTTGGTTTTGTCTTCGTTGATGACTAGACAGACCTGTTTCGTCGCCGTTTCTAATTCTGGAAATATTGCTCAACATATCTCTTACTACACTAGTGTATCTACTATACTATTACTATTTGTATCGATCTATTGTTAATAATACCACCATCTCTAATTTGTGTTTCGCATTGTCTTTTTCAAGGCAATGTTAAATAGGAGCCAAGCCAATGCATTCCCTTGTCTGAATCCATCCTTTATCTCAAAGGATCGAGAATTTTCTCCCTCTGTTCATTTACTCATAAGACCTATTCTAGGATTATGGAGCCCTATACTGGGTCTGCAATCTTGTACTAGCTTGTATGGGCCTAGAAGATGAGAACCATATGTTTTTGGAATCACTCGATAGACATGGCAATGGCTTGCCATTTGCGAGCTAATACCTCGTAGTCATGCAAGATTTGGTTTACTGTCTTAGATCCTCTTTTTACCACTTCTCGGTTCAATATTCATTTTGCCATGTGCTTGACCGGAGATATTTTCCCAGCAAGAGGTATTTCCTTCGAACCAAGGATTTTTCTGGTCGCGGACAACCCTTCTTGTACTCCCATGCCGGGTGTGAACCGAAGTATTTCATAGCTAATGCTTTTATGACAAGTTCATCAGCTCTTTTATTGCCGTAATTTCCACGATGACCTAGAATTCGCACTGGAATACAAAGGTATATTCTCGTCTATGAACTATTTTTAACCTTGCACTCTGGGTCGAGTGTTATCTCTGCCGTATCCCACTCGTCAATAAATCTCACTTGTAAAGGTACTTTATTCTTGCGTCTGGGTACCACAAAGTCAAAGATCATCATCCATTTGATATCTCCGATTTCATTTATGATGTTACTATGTCCTGATCTAGAACATAGAACATAGAACAAACAGAGAATACATAGCAGAGACATGGAGATCGTATTGCAGGGACCTATATAAAGATGATCAACGCCAAGAGCTTGTTAGAAAAAAATCTCTGACGAGGTGGAAGAAGAACCTGATATACTCGAAAATGAAGTAAGACAGGCTATCAACAAGCTCAAATATAACAAAGCACCAGGTCCAGATATGATAACAGCAGAAATGCTTAAAGCCACAGAAGAAACCGGCGTAAAGTTACTTCATCTACTCTGTAACCAAATAGGTATGGCATTCCAAACAATGGCCTGAAGACTGGACAAAATCTACAATAACGACCATACATAAAAAAGGCAGCTTCCATAAATGCGACAATTATAGAACTATCTCTCTTATATCCCATGCCAGCAAGATAATGCTACATATAATCAATGAGAGACTGAAAACATTCCTTCAAAGAGAAATTCCACAAGAGCAAACTGGATTTACCAAAGGTAGAGGCACTCGAGAACACCTGCTGAATATAAGACAGATAATCGAGAAATCTAGGGAATTCAACATCCCACTATACATCTGTTTTATAGATTACCGTAAAGCGTTCGACAGGGTCAAATGGAGACACTTATGGCGAATACTAAAAGAAGTAGGCGTACCACAGCATCTAATTACGCTTATAACCGAACTATATGAACACACTACTGGATCGGTTAAAGTACCTACTTGACACACTTTCGAACGAATTTCATCCAGAACGGGGTGTCAGACAAGGATGTATACTATCTCCACAATTATTCAACATATATGGGGAGTATATTATGCGAAGAGCACTTAAAAGATGGGAAAAGGGCATCTCAATAAATGGTCATAAACTAAACAACCTACGTTTCGCAGATGACAGCCCTTCTTGCAAATAGTCAAGCAGAGCTGATAGAACTTATACAACTGATTGAAAACGAAAGTTAAATATTTGGTCTGCAATTAAACATATCAAAGACAAAGATCATAATAGTGGATAGACTACACAACAATCATCCACACATAACCACAATTGACCGGTTCGAGGTTGTGAGCTCATACTTATATCTGGGATCATTAATCACAAACACAGGGTCATTACAAGAAGAGATTAAACGTAGATCTGATCTAGCAAAAGTTGCCACAGCAAAAATGCCCAAAATATGGAAGGACTGTCAAATTTCAAGAGCGATAAAGATGAGGTTGATCAACTGCTTAATATTCCCAATACTGACCTACGGATGTGAATCTTGGACTCTGAGACAATCGGAGAGAAGAAAGATAGACGCCACTGAAATGTTCTGTTGTAGACGAATGTTACGAATTCCTTGGACCGACCGCAGAACAAATAATTCAATTTTAAGAGAGCTGAAAGTTAACCAACGACTCTCTAGTAAAGTCCATCTCCAACAATTAAAATATTTTGGGCATGTTATGAGAGCAAACACAGAAAACATGGAAAGACTCATAATACAAGGAAAGGTAGAAGGCCGAAGATCACGAGGAAGATCCCCAACGAGATGGATAGATCAAATTACAGAAATATGCCAAAGACCTATGCATGATTTGAAAGAAATGACCAGAGACAGAAATCTCTGGAGACAAACAATAC